AGAGGACAACCACAAGTTCTGTATGTGGGACTTTCCTAGACCCTAACCCATGTGTCTCTTCTGTGGGTTGATTTTAATCCATATTCTTTTGCTGTAATAAACTATAACTGTGAGTATAACAGATTTCACTGGGTTCCATAAATCCTTCTAACACATCGTTGAGACTGAAGGCTGTCTTGGAGACCCTCAAACTTGCAGTTGTGTAAGAAGTAAGCTTGATCTTGCTGACTGCCCCCTAGTTTACACTAGCTCTTACACATTTTTCCTTCACTGTATCTACTCACTCCATGGCATTCTCCACTCTCATTTTTTTTCTTCCACTTTTCTTAAATTTCTTGCCATATCAAAATGTATCTATTAAAAAAAAATCCCATTCTTTCAGAGCCCTGCTAAGTATACCCCTTCATGCCAAATTTACTCATCTTGTAAGACTCAGTTTGAGTGTTACCTCCTCTCTCTGTAAACCTTCAGTGTAATTTTTGTTTGTTGTTGTTTTGCTATGCACTGAAGACAAACAAATCATACTCCATTTGCTAATAAAATCAGTCTTCAAAGGCTACAGGGTTGATGCTGAGGTGTAGGCACAGACACTCCAACCTTGATTGCCTTTCATGTGAAACTTGTATAATAAGCACCATTGATTCTATCATCATTAGTTAGAAGAAAAGAAAGAGGGCAAGAGGGAAGAAGAGAGGAAAATGGAAAGAGATAGAAAGTAGGAAGAGGTAGAAAGAATAGGAAAGGGGGAAGGAAAAGGAGAAACTGAGTCTCAGTAGATGATAAAATTATGACTCATACCCTAGTATTTGACTTTAAATCCACTGACTAGATAATTAACTCTATGGTGAAATGTACTATATACCTAAAGAAATAGAGATGGGAGAGCTAATGATTATACTTGCTTTATAAGTTTTGTAAGCACTTCTTTTCACAAGAAAGCCAAAGAAAACAAAATATTGTCAATATTCAATAATATTCTATCATAAATTGGAGGAACAATAGAAATACTGTGTGTGCCCTCAAAAATGTAAGGATTCTTACATTTCTTAGTAAGTGGCAGTTTAAAAGAACTAAAAGTTATCAACTTTTAGATAAAAGGTAAAGAGTAATATCACTTAACAAGTATAATAAATTAGAATGCTAATTCATTAAATAACTAATATAATATAGCACTTAATTTAATAAATTCTCACTGTTTAAAATTTTCATATATCTGAGTCAGCCAAATATCCAAGCTATATTCTTTCTAGTTTGTAGAAATGAAAAAATTAAATCATTTTTTAAAATAAAAGCACAAAGGGGTGCCTGGGTGGCTCAGTCGGTTAAGCATCTGCCTTCAGCTCAGGTCATTATCCTGGAGTCCTGGGAAGGAGTCTTGTATCAGGCTTTCCACTCAGCAGAGAGTCTGCTTCTCCCTCTGACTACCCCCCTTCTTGTGCTCTCTCTCACTCTCTCTCAGATAAGTAAATAAAATCTCTTTTAAATAAATAAGTAAATAAAATCACAAAGTTATAAATAAGAAAAACCGTATAAGCCTTAATATACTTTACTTTGCCCATTTACCCAAATTGACTAAATGAACCGGATAAATTGTCCAATATCTACTCTCTACTGTTCTATACAGCCTCAGCCAAACAGTGCTAGAATCAATACTCGAATACAAGCTGACTTGCTTCCAGCTCACACAGTTAAGGAACTAAAGGTAGTTGCTTAAATTCAACTATTTCAGTTTTTCAACATTATGAGTACATGGGAAAAGAGAAGGATCCTGAGTGTTCTTTTTATTTTATTTATTTTATTTATTTTTTTTTAAAGATTTTTATTTAATTATTTGAGAGAGAGAGAGCATGAGAGGAGAGAGGTCAGTGGGAGAAGCAGACTCCCCGCTGAGCAGGGAGCCCGATGTGGGACTCGATCCTGGGACTCCAGAATCATGACCTGAGCTGAAGGCAGTTGCCTAACCACCTGAGCCACCCAGGTGCCCCCTGAGTGTTCTTTTTAAAAAAATTATTGTGTCTTCATCATATAACAGGGAAGCACTAAACACTTGACATGTATTACCTCATTTTACCCACACAACAACCCTATGTAGTAAGAATTATTGTTATCTTCACTTTAGAGTTGCTGCAAATGAAGCTCAGAGTATTTAAGGGCCTTGCCCCAGATCACACAGCTAGTAAGCACCGGCACCTAGCTTCGGGCTCTAGAACACCTGTGCTTTATTTAGCACCACTGTCATACTGGGTATGTGTGATTTTAAAGTATCCTACTGTGAATAACACATCTATTATGGATAAATAGATAAAAGCAAACTTATGCATAAAATGAGAAATGAAGTTTTAACCTATGTGTAAAGATTTGGGTTAAGTGTCCATAAGGGGTTTTGGTAGAAAATCCTTAGAGTAACTGCAGCTAGAATGAGCTGATTCTTTGTTAACAATAAACACATTTTGGATTCATGTCCATAGGAAATACTCTTTTTGGAAATAGCACTCTACACTCAGCGATTGTTATAGATGTGGCTTTCACACGCAGGGACCACGAACCTGAGAATGTTGTGCATGTTGAGGATTCGCTACACAGCTGGCATGGCGTACATTAGCCTGAAGAGGGAGTGCAGCTCGGTCCATCTCTGGAGGCAGCCCACCCACCCAGACTGAGCAATAAGGAAAGCAGATTTTATCAGATAGGAAAAGGGATCTATCTTGGTCAAGTCCTCAGAAAAGTCAGCCTTAAATAAATTTTTCCTTGAAACAATCATGTATTCAATAGGTTATATTTGGTTGTAAAACAAATGCAAAACTTAGAAGTTTTTATTTATTTATCTGAGAGAGCAAGAGCTTGTGCACATGAGTCTGGAGAGGGGCAGAGGAAGAGGGAGAAGCAGACTCCCCACTGAGCAGGGAGCTCCAGGTGGGACTTGATTCCAGGACCCCGGGATAATGACCTGAGCCGAAGGCAGACGCCCAATGACTGAGCCACCCAGGCATCCCGGAAATCAAAGAGCTTTTAAAAAGAGTTTTCTTTTTGTTAAGAACTCACAAGAAAATGTTACAGTTACAGGAAAACTAAGGATTGTGATGTTCACTCTGAAATAAAGGAGCATATTTTGTATTCTATAAATGAAATCTTAAGACTGAAAGATATTATTTCCTTCATTGGTTCTGAATTTTTAAAAAAATCTATTCAAAAATACTCAGTTTTCCTTATATCCTTCTTTGCCTGGGTTTTTAATATCTTGATAATGCTACCTTTTGAAATTATTAAACTCATGACACCAGCAGATGACAACTGTGAAGCCAGAAGATGTGTAGTGGAAAGAGGTTTGTTGTGAGAGATGGGCAGGCCTGGATTCGAGTCCCAGCTGTACAAGCCTGAGCAAACCCCCTTCTGTGAGCCTCAGTTTCTTCACCTATAATCCCTATCCTGCAGGCTCATTATGAATATTAGAATAATAGATGTAAAGGGCTAGGCAAGGACAATCCACAAAATATATATGTAATTAATAATGATGGGTTATCTTCTTTTTGCTCTTCTCTGTGGTCCAAGAGGCTCAATTTTAAAGAATTTGTAGACTTTGCAATCAATATACCTGCGTTCAAATCTTGGTTCTTCCATTTATTTGCCTGTAACCCTGGGGTAGTTACTTATTCTTCTTACTCTTGGTGTCACCAATTCTATCATGGGCATAATCATAAAAATCCTGTGATGAAGTAGTGGTAAATATATATTCTGTACACATGGGGCTGGCACACATTAAGTTCTCAGAAGGTATAAGTAATAACAGTGTATTAACAGTGTACTAACAGTGAACTAAAAGATAGTTTCTCACCTCTTCATGGCTAATCAAAGCAAAATAAAGTAGCAGAAATGACTTGGTCAAGAACAGAATTTCATGAAGTTATGCGTGACATGTGACCTAATGTAACCATTTCCCCATAAAACAGAAAATGCCTTCCAAGATATCTTTTAATTCACCTATGTGCTACTTGACAGTATACTTCTCTGTCTACTTGTCAATTTGGTCAGTCAGATAGAGCACCACCCCTTCCTTTGCACACCCTCCCTCTACCTATGTATATTTCATTTACTTCACTCTTTCTTACTGTTGTTTAGTTGATTGGCCAAATTGACAAGTGGCTTGTGGAACTGGTCACTGAACTGAAATGATGGTTTTGTCAGAATGAATAATTTGGCAGCCCTGGTGATGTGAAACAGAGGAGTAAAAATAATAATAATAATAATAATAATAATAATAATAAATAAAATAGGGCCATGGTGATACTCTGTAGATCCAGCAGAGTTCCCAGGTTTTTCTCTTTGACTTTGGCTTTTCATTTTTAACCTTTGACAAAGGCACTTGTTTTTACACTTTGAGGCCAGAGACATTGTCTTATTTTTTATTTCCATTGCTGGCAACTAGGACATTATATGGCAAATAGAAGATACCTTTTAAAATGCTGTTTAATAATTATATTAATCTGAACGTACATAGATTCCTGAAACGCTATCACCATACTACTAGAGCAACTGGACAGCAGGCAAAAACAAAACACTGAACTATTCTCTACACCTCTCCATTTGAATTAAATAAAATCCCAAACCCACTGGTAGGCAAATTGCATTTTGTTTCTTAATGACATAAATCTAGATGGAACATTTAGTATATGCTTGTGTTGTTTCAAGAAGTGCAAAGGTAACTCAGTCACAGTTTGCCACCCCCAAGAACTCCCACTTCAAATGAAGTCACAAGCAAAGCCTTTTCACTATACAAAACTTCCCTTTTATAGAGAGTTCGCTTAAAAATGTAAGTAATTTCTTAAAGGTCATATTTCCCCCCAAAATTGGTTTCTTCACCCTTACATTCTCATTGTACTGGGTAGAAGTTTTTATTGTTTAATGTTGAATTTAAGCTTCTGATGATTTTGAAAACATATACTTTTGCTGTTTGGAAGGAGAATTTTTATATAAGCAAAGAAGTAACAAGGTAACTTTCTTACCTTGTTCTTGTGCATGAACAGCACCCGCTGCCACACATAGCACAATAAAATGGAGAAGCAATTTCCTAAAAAAAAAAAAAAAAAAGGAAAATTTTAGTGGATATTTACAACCTATAAATCCTATAAAATCCCAAATGAACTCCAGTACAAGATTAAGAAATAGCTATCATTTTTCAAAAGATTTTTTTTATTTATCTGAGAGAGAGAACATGAGATGGTAGGTCAGAAGGAGAAGCAGCTCCACCCCAAGATGCTGGGATCATGATCTGAGCCAAAGGCAGACACTTAACCAACTGAGCTGCTCAGGCATCCCAAGAAATAAGCTATCATTTTAATTTACACAGTATTTTAATACTCATAATGGTTAAAAGCAAGGGCTCTGAATTTAAGTTCCAGCTTTGTCACTTAGTGTATGACTTGAGAACACTTTTTATCACCCCTGTGTTTCCTCATCTGTTCAACCTATCTCATAAACTTTTTCAAAGATTAACTGAAAAATTTCATGTAAGGCACACAAACCAGTACCTGGCACAAAGGAAGCACTCAACAAACATGACTCATATAAATGATATTATGAGGATGATGACTACATATTACATCAAAGCATCATACATGCAATTTTATACAAATTAATATAAGTTTACACAAAGTAACAGAACTTATAGTCACTTAACTATAGTGGTTCTAAATCGTGGAACCAGTGATTTTTTTAAATGAATGTTTATATGGAAAAGCCATTTGATTATCATATGAAAGCCATTTGAATATCACTTGTACTAGATTCATGATGTTTGGGTTCTGAAAATAACAATGGCCTGTATATATCAACATCGAACATTTTGATTTGCAATAATTGTGAGCATGATACTCAATCATTGCATATCAAAATGTTCATTCATACTGATTAGCTGACTACAAATATTTCATGATTTTGTTTTAGTATAGCCAAACTTTTGATAGATTTTATTGAGTAGCCTTCATAATTGGTTATATCTATCTCTCAAGTAAAAACCATAGAGATAATTTCAAAAAGTAATGCTAAGCTTGCTGAAAACAATAGCTGATCACCTAATTCTGTTTTTTATTTGTTTTTTATTCTAACTCAGGGACTTCCTAAATGACATTTCTGTAAAATGCAGTTCTGTAAGGAGTGATTACAAAGCCCTCTGAAAAATATTTTTTCTTTTTATTAAGTTCCTGGTGTGCTGACAGTAATTGGTACATTCCCTGTTTATTACCAACGATAAATATGTTTTTATCTTTTCAACTAGTATAAGGAGCATGTTAATATAACAATGATAATCTTTTACAAAATGAGCCAACAATATGTAATTATACTCTTCTCGGTACAATGGAACTATCACTTATATTAAAATGGCCTTAGCCATATCTTAGTGGGTGAAAAATGTATACTCTACGGTCATACTCAGTACAGAGCACAACTTTTATAAGACAAAGATTTGCTAGAATACTTAAAAATGTTATCAATTCTATAATCTAACCAACTGAACAATTACAGAAATTTCAACTGATCTGGGCAAGCGAATAGCTGACCCATATGTGTTAATAAAGCATATAAAAGATTCCTATGTGTGGTGTCATCCATTTAAAACAATAGTTCTCAAATGTTAGTTTGCTAAAAGAATCACCTGAGATGCTTGTGAAAAATGTAGATTCTGGGCTTGCCTCAGAGATTATGATCCATAAATTCGGAGTGAATCCTCAGTTTGTATACGTCTTTAACTAGGTGATTCTAACAAGGATTGTGCATATATCAAACTCTGAGAAACAGCAATTTGGAACATTTACTAATTATAGTTACATTGTACTTAAAATACACAAATATTATTTTGCTCAAATCACAGACATCTAATTACATGAGATAAGATTATTTGACCCTTGGAGGGGATTGCTGTTTTTTGTTTGTTTTTGTTTTTATCTTTTTCTCTTGCTCTAGATCAGTGGTTTCAAACTTCACCATGCAGCAGAATCACCTGGAGGGCTCCTTAAAGATCACTGGGCTCCACCCTGAGAGACTCTGACTCACCAGGTCTGGGGTGAGGTTTGAGGACTTGCATGGACAGCAAGTCCCCAGGCAATGCTGATGCAGTGAATCTGGGGTTGACGCTATGAGGACCACAGGAACAGATGACGCTCAAGGGATGATGAAGGGCCTACATGTTTTGAATCTCGTTTTTACCTTCCACTGCCCAGTGGAATCACCTGGGGAGTCTTAGAAACTACTAATACTTGGATTTTCCCTCTCCACCCGTTCCCCCAGAGATTCTGATTTTAATTTGTCTGTGGTACAGGGATTCTTAAACACTCCCCCCGGTGATTCTACTGTGCAAGTTGAGGACCTCTGTGTGAGATTAAAATGATAACTCAAGGTTCTCCAAGATGGATCCCAAAGTGATCTAGAGTTTGAGAAAAAAGAGGCTCTCTTCCTTTCAACTTTATATTTTCAACAAATAACTGGCAGGATATATACACCAGTGAGACTAAAAAATAGCTCAGGATTGCAATCACTGAAGGAGAGTCCAGCAGATTATGCTGTCTTAGCAGTAAATGGGATGCGAAAGGAATCATGTCTCATCTGCCCAAGGTAATCTGGCTCACTCAGAGTTTAGAAATAACCCAACAGGCACTCCTCTATTCAGAGGAACCTAACTAATCAAGAGTACAACAACCAGCAGTATTCATTTAGCAATTCAGCCAACTCATAGACTTCCCCCAATGACCTGAGGGGAGAAAAATAAAAAATAAAGTTCTTTCTAGACATGTTAACAAGTCCATTCCTGGTGTAAGGCAGGAAAACCTGAACACATCAAAAATCACCCCTTAGCCAGGTGATCTTAGGGGATTATGACAAATCAGTTGAGCCATACCTTATGTAAGTGTACCTAAGTATTAAAACCGATGACTAATAGAGAAGTAGAGATTGATGACTGGAAAAAGACTTTTTCCTCTTTTTCTAATTACGTCCCAAACTAACGGCCACCTAAGGAAGAATATATGGATATCCATATCCACAGCAATATGGATTCCATTACACCTACCTCCCCTCCCCTGAAGCTACAGCCATATCACATTATACTGTATTTCCTGGAGAGAGCTTATAAGTGTCTTAAAGGCCATTCTCATCTCCACCTGTCAGAATCTTAAATATTACCAAAGCCTAATTTGAATAACATCTGCTCCATGAAGTTTCCATCATCTCTAAAGATGCCTGGATCTTTCCCTCCTCTCTGTACTCTAATGCTTTAATTGTAACTTTATTATATCCCATATATGTTGTACCTTTTAGGATTAATTAGTAAGTAAATACCTGAACAAGAAATAGGTCTTCACCTTTTATCTATTGCTTACATGAAATTGACAATTAATAAACATTTTAAACCAAGGGAGCCACCCAGGCAACCCTTTAAAAAAAAAATTTTTTTTATTTATTTGTCAGAGAGAGAGAACACAACCGGGGGGCAGGGAGTAGGCTCCCCACTGAGCAAGGAGCCTCATGTGCAACTCGATTCCAGGACCCTAGCTAGGAAAAGGAGTACTGTTACTCCTTTCCATTTAAAAAAAATGTTTATTAAACAGTCGGTTGAGTGTCTGCTAAAAGGAGTAACAGTAACATCGCCCAATGACTGAGGAATTCAATTTTCCCGTATGGATCTAATTCTTTTAACACTTGGGAAAAGTAAAGTAAAATAAATAAGAGTACTTTCATTTGGCTGTCCAAAGAGAGAAAGAAGAACATTTAAAAATATCTGCTACAATAGGCTAAGTGGAAAGGCTTCTTTTTTTTTTTTTTTCATTGTGACTGTTTTTCTCATTTCTAAAGTGGGAACACAAAGAAGACATCATGCTTAATTGACATACTCAATTAAAGAGCCAAACTCCATCATTGTATGAAATGGATGTCTAATGAATCCAAGCTTTCTGGAAAATGTCTAGTTGGGCTGGACCTGTTTATTTCTTTGGTTTTGCCCCCCTCCCATGATATCACATTTACTATGCATTCACTTAATGAAGAAAAAGTATCACATTTCCACATTAGCAGTAGACGGAGTTCTCAAGGGCATCAGCTGTACCAGGAATGCATTTAATGCTAAGACAGGCAGGAGTCGATGAATAAATTAAAATAAAAACTACATTAGGTCGGAGAGAAAACAGTGTGGTAAATAAGAAAGTAAAACTAGACTGAGAGTCAAAAGACTAAACCTGGTTCTATTTCTCACTTACTGTGTGACGTTGGGCAATTCACTTCAATGTTCTGAGTCTCGGCTGACTCATCTATCATGGGATAAGATATTATAAATTTTATATTTTGCATTCTAAATATAAAACCCTAGAATTCTGTTAGTATACTAGCATTAAAAGACAAAGATCAAATTATTTAGCAAGATGTTCCATAAATCACTATATATAATAGACATGATGTTTAACCAACAAATCTGGAAAGGTCTTCCTGAAGTTCTGGCCAATACTCTTTTAATTACGTAATGTAAAATTGTCTACTAAGTTTGCTCATTTGTTCACATATTTACTTTCACAAAAAGTCTAATTGGTATTTAAATATGACTATTTTTCAAATATTCAAAGCATGTCTGCTTTTGGTCACTTTTCTGTATGACTGAACTGTATGTCACTAACAGAATCTAACAGAAGTACATAGATTCAGACATTTTACAAAATCAGACCAGATCTAAAAGAAATCAACAATATGGTAACAGTCAATAAAAGTTCAAAAACATAACCCATGATATTAATATGTGAAGATCTCGAGGAAAATATGAAATATTTCTGTGTGTCTGGTCTGCTAGCCACATTTTCAGTATGACAGAAGCCACAATCAAAACATAACCAGACATGTGAGAGGTGAAGGCCTGGAGGGGATCAGACAGGAAATAGATATCCAAAGACAAAATATTTAAGGAACTAATATCCATCCCAGGCATCTTCCCTAAATAATTCTCAGAGCTATTCAACTTTCTCTTTATTTGAAGGGTTTAAGTTATTTTAAGAGAATCCCAGGCATCTTTTTGTTTAGGGCCCCCCCGGAGACTCTCACGTCTTGTGTCTGTGGGCTACCGAAGCTCGTTCTAACATAGATTCAAGTTACAATTTTAAGAAGGACTTGTGAAATCTTGTGACTAGGGAATTTTTTGTGTGTATGAGTTGCTTATTTTAATTTAAACCATTTGGGAAAGGCAAAATAATCTGAAAACCATACATGTGATATCTATCAATAATTTCAACAATTACCATTATACATTTACAAGCCAAAAACTCCTTTAAGTTATGACAACTTTACAGATTTTGCTCTTTACTAGATGCAAAGATCCAGAAATAGTAACATTTTTGTCCTTTGTTGACCAAATAACTGAAGATCAGTTCTCATCTGATAAAGTTGAATGATTCAGGGAGTGAAGTGTTGTCACTAACTTGTATACAATGAATTTCTGAGATTACCAATTCAGCTCAGTAGGTACTTGTATAAGTAACACAGTGTGAAAGATACTAGAATTTTTGGTTAAATTTCAAGCAAACAGGCAATTCATGAAGTACAAGGGAAATAAATGCTTAAGAATGTCAAGTAATCAAAATGCCTAGAATCCAGTCAGTAACAGGGAAGAAAAATAACTCAGCTAGTCCATCCTCATAATACCCCAGAGAGTGTTAAAATGATTGCTGCCTACCCTCACAAAGTTCCTTGCCCACACTCATGTTAACTAAAGTTTTTTAAATGAATGAGTCAATATACAGTTAGCAAGACTATCAGGCGGTCTTGAGTTTCAATAAACATATAACTTCTCTAGCATCTTCGACATGCTCACTGATCCCAAGATCAAGAAGTCAGGTCATCCTAACCTCCTTTTATTTAGCTGAGAAAGTAATCCGGTTTAAAGACCTTTCAGAATCCGGTCTCTGGTCTCCAGATCCAGCTCCAGTCACTCCTCATCTAGAAAGCGTGGTCTACAACCAACTTTTCACTTCTTACAGGCCCTCAAATGAACTGTGCTATCTCGCCTCTCAGCCTTTTACTGCTCTGTCTGGAAAGTTCCATGTCTTTTCCAATTAGGTCTCAGTGAGGGTTTCATTTCCTCTGGTCAGCCTTTCTTTCCAGGATTACTCTTCCGTATATACCCCACCTACCCAGAACTTCTAGGTGTCCTCCTCTCTCATTTTTGTATACCTGGTTGTTCATTCTCTGTTTCCTATACTAACCTGAGCACACTGGGAAGGCAGCAGTTGTGTTTCTGTCTTGCTCCACCATTGTATCCTCTCTGCTTAGAGCCATGCTGGGCACATAGTTGGGGCTCAGAAAACATTTGTTGAATAAATGAGTGAATGATTGAGTGAATGACTGTCCGAATAACGTTAGCCTTTTAGGAGGATGAAAATGAAATGGTCTTTACCTCACTTCTTGCTCAGAGTTACAAATTCTAAAATAACTCATAATTGCAACGCATGGCATGGAAACTAGCTATTTTAATTTCCATAATAAAATTTATATTTTTCTCCTGCCACTTCACAGATTACCAAGCAGAATGTCTAAGCAACACTCAAAGCTACTTTCATAAGTTACAATCCCTCTCCTTGAGACATCAGCTTATTTTATACATCTACTTGAAAACAAACATAACTAAGCAACTTTAAAGAACGGAGTTTTATGCCAACTAGGAAATAGATGTTTATATCCAAAACTAACCCCCAACCCCGACACACCTTGGTTATAGAAACCCTTTAATTACAATAATAGCCTTCCTGGGGGACTTTCTGATACTGTTAAATCATTGTATTTAACACTGACTTCTGGTTTTAATTTCCTTTTATTACTACCACAAATTCACATTAGGTAACTCACTTAAAAGCTAGCCCCATGAAATAAAATGTTTTTAAGGATCCAGTTTTAAAACTGCAAATGTTTTTGGGTGAGTAATCAGAATTGTGACTTAAAAAAAAACTGCTCCTGTTTTTACAAAAAACGTCACCACAAAAGGATGGCGGGAAATTAAAACCTCAAGGATTTCATTAGAAACTCTAAGGTTTAATTCAGTGGACTGACATTATCATCAGCTCATCAGCTGCTTCTACCAAGTCCCCTCCCTATAGGGTTGGTAGTGGTTTTTTTATTTTTTTAAGTTTTTTTTTTTTAAGATTTTATTTATTTATTTGACAGAGAGAACACAAGAAGGGGTGGGGGGGGCGGGGAGCAAAGGTAGAGGCAGAGAGATAAGCAGACTCCCAGTGGAGCAGGGAGCCCAGTGCCCAGCTGGATCCCAAGACTCTGAGATCACTACCTGAGCCAAAGGCAGAGGCTTAACCAACTGAGCCACCCAGGCGCCCGGTAATTCTTTATGGAAATTGGGTTTTTTTGAGAAACAATTTTGTCAAATCAGTAACTACTCTTTCCCCTACTTGGCATGTGTACGGTTGGAGCTATGAGGGGGTGCAATCTGATGTAACCTTGAATTACCCTTAATTCTCTGCAGCCCATCCCCACTGCCAACTGTAGTGGAGCAAACTTGACGACTTCACGTCAAAGGAGGCTGCAGGTTTCCTCACGGAGTGACCTTCTAGACCAGTGCCTTCAACCCCAATTCTCTCAGCAAAGGTTCCTTTCCCGTTCCACGTAGTCTTATTTTTCCTCAGTTCCTTCGTGTAATCCATTCTGTTTGGTTTCTCAGCCTCCCTCCCCCCAATCATCTGGACCCAATTTACAAACCCCAAACTGCCCAAAAATTTACGCAGGGCCTTTTCTGGGAGCGTCTGGAAGGGAAGTGTAAGCAAAACAAGACAGAGGCCAGGAGCAGAGAAGATCTGCTTTAATCGGAGAAGTTGGTTACCACTACCAACCCCGCGGATGGCTGGGCAACGGCGCAGGCTTTGCTCGGTGGCCAAGGGAAAGCCCTCTGGGTAGGAGCTGGCCGGGAAGGCAACGAGCGCACAGGAATGAACGCGGAGGTTGCGGGCCGGCCAAGAGGTGGCCGACCTCACCCAGCTTCTCCTGTTGTCTGGACCTCCGGGGGCCCGACGCTCATGCCACCATTCACCGACTCGGATCAGCGGAAACATGAGCGGGGTCCCGCAGGATCGGCTGCGCAGGGAGCCCGGCTTTCCGACCAGGTCCACGCTGAGGGGCTTTTATTGAGAAATGTGGCGGGAAACCTGCCTGGGAAGCCGGTGCGACCCGCGGGAGTCGCGCTGGGGAAATTAACCCGCATTGGGTGAGCTCTTCCGGGATCCGGGTCTCCCCGGTCGCCGGCCCCTGGCCCCAAGCACGGGATTGCGAGCTTTCCTCCGCACTGACTAATCCGGCTTCGGGCGCGTGGGGAGGAGCGTCCTCCTCAGCCGGGAAGCCCAGCTGTCCGAACTCACAGGGGTCAGAGCAGACAGCGCGCGAGCCCCAGCCCGCATGCTGCTGGGAAGCACATGTGCACACAAACAGTGCCACAAGGCGGTCTCTCCCGCGCCCCGCCTCCCTCCGCCTGTCCTTAGCGGGCACCGGCAGGTCTACCCCTTACCCTCACCAATTCTCCCAAGGGACAGCTTCGGGGCAGAAAATGACCCGAGCCGCTTTTGGTTCCTCCGGCTCCAGGGGCCAGAAGCAAACTTCCAAAACCCACTGACCTCTTCCAGGGGGAGCAGGGCAGCCAGCCAAGGCACGCACTCCCCTCCACGCTGTTTTCCCAGTGAGGGAGGGAGCAGGAGCAGGTACAGCGCCCAAAGAGGAGGTGGGGTGCCAGTCCGGGCCTGCGCGAACACGCTGCAGGAGGAGCAGCCCCGCCCCCGCGTCCAGCCCCTTCCCCAGTGACAGGCCAAGGAAGCAAGACGCTGCCTCGGCCCCAGATGGGCAGCACGTGTGTTGGCCTCCTAACGACAAGAGCCGATTGCCTCCGAGGCTAGCCGCGCCCGGATGCCCGAGATTTTGCGGGTACCCTCTCCTCCAGTCCAGCAACCGCGGCCCACGTCTGTGCCCCGCGGTCCAGGCTCCGCGCACACAGCCCAGAGGACCGCCGGCGCCCGGGCAGTCCCCAAGCTGGAAGCCCGGAGAAGAACCGCGGGATAGCAGAACCTCAGCCAGGGCCATGAGAAAGGAGAAGGAAAGGAAGGCGCGAGGGCGGCGGGAGCCGGAGCTCCAGCCGGCGTCCGATCTGAGCTCCGGGAGTCGCGGGAACCGCGGCCGCCGACACCGGGACGCGAGCCAGCGAGCTTTCCCTCCCCAGCCGCAGGACCTCTTTAGCATGAACTTTCTGAGAGATCCGCTGGCAGGAGGCTTCCTTTCAAACACGGTATTTTACAAATTGAGGAGACAAGAGGATGTCACGGCTGCTCGCCGGCTCCCAACTTCGAAAAGTGCCAAGGAGCTGGGGAGCACAGATCTCCAACCCGCCCAGAGGGTCTGGAGGATGGGGAGAGGGGTGGGTCTAACCTTAGCCTCCGGGCGAGTGGGCTACTTACGTTTTTGCCGTGTGGGAGACCTTTCCACGCCTTGTCCTGTGGGCTCCTAAATGCATTTGTATGCATTTGTCCCTGCAGCGAAGCGCTAACGGAAAACAGAAGGCAACTCCGAACTGCTAAGGGTGCAGGTACTGGCCATGAAAAAGGAAGAAGAAGAAAAAAAATCACATGAAAACGATGCTCCAAAACCGCAACAACAACAACAAAAAGGGAGGAGAGAAATAGGAAGGGGAAAGAAATAGCACCCAAAGGATAGATCAATCAGCTAGGCTTAGCTCCCTAGCTCGGTAACGGACGAGCCCGGGGGGGAGCGCTCCCCTGGGAGGGCGGGCGAGGAGCAAGACCTCACTGGCAGGCGGCGGGGCGCCGGCAGCAGCTGGAACTCCGCCGCGAGCGCAGCCCTCGAGTTCACTTGCGGTTCAAAGGCGACTCTGTGATTCCAGTGGAGTCCTCTGCTTTGGGGCTGGGAGGAGAGAAGGGCTGGGGGAGGGAAGGAGATGAAGGGGGTGTGTGTGTGGGGGGGGGGGAAGTCCTTGGAAACACCCCGCGCTTGAACGTTTGTCAGACAAGCACACACACCCACTTCGGAAATCTGGTCCGTGAGAGGGGGCCGGTGGCAACTGCAGGCGCTCAGCGTTGACTGCCGCCGGCTGCTTCCCCTGGAAGAAGAGGAGCCCAGCAAATCCGGCCGGTGTTAAATTTCACCGCTCACTGACTTGCAATGACATCACCAAATACAGTGCACACCTCCCCCTCCGCCCCGCAACCTACCCCCAACCCGCGCGGGGCTCCTGCGCCCGGGTCCGTGAAGCCCCGGGCCCGCCGCGCCTGGGGAGCGCCTGCAGCCGCCCCGGCGACGCCCGCATACTCTCGCTTCCCACTCCACCCTCCTCGCTGTCCCCGAAGCTCGTAGGTGACTAGTATCTTTCCTTCGTCCCTTTTTCAGCAGTCCCCAGTGTGATGTTTTCCTCTTACATGTCCCCTATCCCGTCTTCTTCTCTGTCCTCCTCACGCATGCCCCTCTGAAATCCTACTCGGCGCAGCCCTTCATTCTCCACCTTCGTGCATTCTTTGCAGTAATGTTCGTGGGCTAAGTCATATTATAAACAGACTGCGACGGTTCTCATTGCTACCTTTCCTTCCCTTCACTCTTGCCTTTCAGTCTGCCCCATGTACTACTTTTCTGCTAATTTTTCTATCCTGTAATCCACTTATCTGCTTTCTGCCCTTTCCTAGCTTATAAACATGGATTCATGATCTGCATTTATGCATCTAGAACATGCTAACAGTCCATGGTCTTTCCGATTTGAATACCTTCTCCAATTTTTGTAACTTTTTTTTTTTTTTTACATAAGCCTCCATACCCGCACAGCCTTTTCACAGCCTGTCCACCTTCCAAGTTTTGGGGAGTTAAAAAAAAGTTAACCTTCTGATTTTACCTTTTTATTAATAAGACTGGAAATTCCAGGGGGCTAGGGATCTGTTATCTTGCTCACTGCTGTATTTTCAGCACCTAAAATACTACTTAGCATGTTTGTTTAACCAGTGACTGTTGTACACCATTGAATATCATTTCTCTAACAAGTTTTCCTGGCCTTTTCTGTGAGCTATCTCTAGCTAATGATCCCTCTACATGCTGAAAAGCATCCCAGAGTATGCACATATTATAAAAGTTAAAGCAACCGTATTGATGAAGAGAAATGATTGATGCAACCTTTGGAATTTTAGGAATCATTTCCCAAAAAACTGAGGGATTTTTCCCTCTCCAGGAATATAGAATTTAATTCCTCTTCCCTTCCCTCAATTTTTCAACTATTTATTTTGAAATAATTTTGAAATAAATGTACATATAAGTTCCAAAAATAGTAAAGAGTTCCTTTCTACCCTTCACTTACTTCCTCTAATATTGATATCTTAAATAACAGCAATATGATGATCAAAACCAGGAAATTAACACTGATACAATACCATTAACTAATCTATAGCTCTTATTCAAATTTTGTCAGTTTTCCAAAATATCCTTTGTCTAGTATTTAATTTAGGATCTTATACTGTGTTTAGTTAATTAATTAACAGAGAGATTCAACTGTTAGATCTCCTGAGTTTCCTCCCATCTGTGGAAGTTTCTGTCTTTTGTCTTTCATGACTTGGAACCTTTTGAAGAGCACTCATTTGGTAGAAGGTCTCTCAATCTGGATTTGTGTGATGTGTTCTCATGATTAGGTTCAGGTTATGTATTTTTGACATAAATACTACTGAAGTGATGTCTCTTTCTCAGGGCATCATATTGGGTATATGTAATGTTGAAATATCTTATTACTAGTACTGTTATCTTTGATCACTTAATCAAGGTGCTACCTGCCAGATCTAACTACTGTAAAACCCTTCCCGCCCCTTGATTTTTGTAACAAACAGCCACAGCTTTTTGGAATTCTTCTAAAAATCCGGGGCTGAGGGGAGATAGCCATTCTTTAACAGTCTTAAACTACAGTTTTTCTATTTTTGGATTACCAGTCAACTAAAGAAAGACAGGTAATTTGGTGAGTAGAAAGAATAGGTAAGAATTAAGCAGTAACTCACCTAATCTCTCTCTCCATTTTCCCATCAAATCATTAAGGATTAAAAACATTTTTTTTCTTTTGAGTGTGAGTATTTGAATGCTGTATGAAATTGAATTATCATTAAAATATATCTCAGGTTCTTTGACTATAAGAAGAGAATAGTTGCTCATTATAGTTAATAGAGCTCTTATCATGCAGAAGATTTCAAAGTATACACACAGCCTCAAAGAGAGTACTTGTGTTTATAGGAGCAGAGGCATTTGCCCAGTTAAAAATAAACAGTGTAAGGTTTAAATGCTATAGACTTTTAGGATGGTGGAGATTCACATAGATCAAATTAATCAAGACAGAGACCTTGGGACTTAGCTGGGCCTTGAAAAGTAAAGAGGATTTACATAGGTGGAGCAGAAACAGAAAAAGTGCTTGGAAATGGAGAACAGGAGATTGAAAACAATGGGGAAAAGGAGGATATCTTAATTAGATTCAGAGGGAAAGAAACAGATTCATCAGTTTGTCTTAGAAGTTTGTGCAATGGAAGAGAGGTCTAGAGCAAAGTATGGAAGTCTCTGAATGCCAGGATAAGGTTCATTCAGTCATTCAATAAACATTTAGTGTGTTACCTAGTATATGCCCGGGAGTCTTCTAGGCACTGAGTTACACTGGTGAACAAAATGCATGAAAATTCCCTTCATGGAGTTTACATTCTACCATTTAAGATTTGATCTATGGGCAATAGGAAACAAATTAAAGAATTTCAAACTGATAAATGATTATGTTTCAAATTCTCATTTTAAGAAGACTGATCAGTACCAGATGCCAAGATTGAAAAGACAGAAGGTTAGAGGATAAGTTAGATGTATGTATTGAAATATGCTAGTATTTTCAACGATGGGAGAAATGACAGAAAAGCTAAATAAGGGGGTCATTATTAAAAGAAATTAGGAAGTTCTGATAACTGGTCACATCGGGAAGGGAGAATGAAATTTCAAGTCCAAATGACTGAAAAATTATGCCATTGACCAATGTCAAAGGGAAGACAACTAATTCAGTTTTAGACATATTTAGCTTGATATCTTGGTAGGAAATTCTATTGGAACCATCCAAAGATCTGTTGGAGTTGAAAGCTAGAGTTCAGGGGAAAGGCGAGAGCTAGAGTTTTACATTTCTTCATTTTCTGCACAAAGTGGTATTTGAGGCTTTAACAGTCAAATCTATTTTCAAAGAAGTGAATGTTGAAATGGACAACAGAGAGCCAAGGATATAAACTTAGGTTATAGGAAATGGGGAGAAGCAATGCAGAATTAAAAGAAATAGAACCAAAACTATGCATTATTAAATAATAGTATAGGAGTTCAAAAAATAATAATATAGTAAATACATCATAATATTTACTATGCATGAATAGTGTTTGAAATATTTTTTTTTAAAGATTTTATTTATTTGACAGAGAGAGATCACAAGTAGACAGAGAGGCAGGCAGAGAGAGAGGGAGGGAAGCAGACTCCCTGCTGAGCAGAGAGCCCGATGCGGGACTCGATCCCAGGACCCTGAGATCATGACCTGAGCCAAAGGCAGCGGCTTAACCCACTGAGCCACCCAGGCGCCCTGAAATATTTTTTATATATTAACTCATTTTATCCTCTTAATAAATTTTATTAAGATTATTAATCATCCTCTTTCAGAGGAGGACACTAAGACAGAAAAAGATTACAGTGGAACCTTGAACAACTCAGGGGATTAGAGTGAGTTAGGAAGGAAAGAAGGGAGGAAGGGAGGGAAGGAGCGGTGGAAATATTGACAGCATCAGTTTGTTTTTTTTTTTCAAGATTTTATTCATCTATTTGACAGAGAGAGAGGGAACACAAGCAGGGGGAGGGGGAAAGGGAGAAGCAGGCTCCACGCTGAGATGGAAGCCCCACGTGGGGCTTGATCCTGGGATGCTGGGATCATGCCCGGAGCCTAAGCTGTTGCTTAAGGACTGAGCCACCCAGGTATCCCAACAGCATCAACTTTATCCAGAGTCAGTCTGCATGGGTCCAAATCTTGATTACCAGTTTTGTGATCTCAATTTAACTACAACTCACCTTGGAATAACTTGGGTTTGAACTCTGTGGGTCTTATATTTTATTCAATATAATACAGTACTGTAAATGTATTTTGTCTTTTTTGGATTTTCTTAACATTTTCTTTTCTCTAGCTTACTTTATTGTAAGAATATGGTAAATGAGTTGCTTTTTTTTTTTTTTTTTACAATTATGGATTCCTGAGTCTTATGCCTAGAGATTCTGATTGAGCATGTCTGAGGCGGGACTCAGGAATCTGCATTTTTAACAAGTAATTCTTAAAAGACTACAAGTAATTCTGATACAGATAGACTGGTGATGTATTAACATGTCAACCCATTCTTGACTTATTTATTAAACACAATGCTTATTGACAGCCTGTGAAATCTCTAAATGAGTAAGTCCTCTTGTTCTTATGTACCTGAGCAGAAT